AGCTGGTGCGAATAAATACACGTTCTGTTGAAAGATACATAAACAGAATAGCAAAACCTAAGCTACCAAGGACAAGAGGCAGCTATATCCGGAATGCGCGAACATCTTCAGAATCAGCACCCGACATTCACCAGCAACTCTACTCTAGAAATCTGTACACATCGTACAGAAGTGTAGTATCAGTACAACCGACCCCATATACTGGTAAGTATTTTGTCTAACCTCGTCGAAGTAGTGATGAGACTTTTTAGTTAAAAGACACTTACTGATAAAACCTACATTACGAATCAGCAATAGAACTATACCACATTATAATAGAGAAGAATACATGAAAACGGATAAGCAAAATAATAACCGAGTGTTAATAGAGATCACAATTTGGCATCCTCAAATACGTCAACCAATTCTTTCCTTAGAATGAAACAATTAGACCACAACAGTCAATTCTTAACTTTCATAGCATGAGGGATGTACCCAGATATCAAGTCAATTGCACGGCGACCCCTTCGTGCTTTTATCTCATCCTCACCCAATATAAGTATAACAGAACCAACCAGATGATAGAAATACCGATAACATGAATTTCAAAGTAGGAATACCTAATAAGCAATAATGAACAAGGACAACAATATGGGCAACAGTAGAAGACTAAGAGGAAAGCATGTGAATGATGACATAAATTGGAAGCAAGGAATATCAGCTTCAACTAACTAGCATGGTGAAGGCCTAAATACAGGTATAACAAACAAGAAGGAAACACATGATCTTTACAAGTTAACAAGTAGAGGCATGAATGACTAACATAGAAAAAAGGACTTTAACTAAAGTGCAACAGAATAGATACGACGTGAGTCTAATTATAGAAGCAGGGAAATAGGCATGATATTTGCAAGTTAAACAAATAGAAGATATGAGCGACACAAAAACAATTGATATAGAGATAAATGACAGAACAATAGCAACAAGTCACATCAGATATGAGATTGCGACAACAACAACTCAAGGTAAAGACATGAACATATACACGGGAAACAGATATCACAACATAATGCATGTCCCTCATCCTCGCCTGCACGGAAACACCCATCGTGCCATGACCTCACGATGATATAAAAGCATAACAGTATAAATAAAAAGGCATGACATCACCCTTCGTGCTTTACACTCTCATAACATGGCAGGGCATCACCCTTCGTGCTTTTACTCTCAATAATATGGCACGACATCACCCTTCATGCTTTTACTCTCAATAATATGGCACGACATTACCCTTCGTGCTTTACACTCTCCCACACATGATAATGTATAAACAATGGCACGGCATCACCCTTCGTTCTTTATACTGTTCCTTACCAAGCATATGTATATCAATGACAACAAGGCAGGAAGCATAAATAACATCAAGGACAATGTTTTAACGGATATCCCAAACAAATCCCAATCACAACATTCCAAGTCAATAATGATTCAACAACCCTCAAGATCCGTATTATTAAAATTCTTCCACAAATCTCACAAATGATCCACAACACAAGTATAGAGTCTAGTATCTCAAGAATATCGGCCGCAGTAATGTAGTAGTAATTTCGCATAGAGATGACCGAATTAGACACATCAATGTATTTTCAGAATTTCTGGTCAAGTTTGATCAAGTTATAATAAGCTTAAGTCTTGATTTCTATCATTTAATATTGTGTCCTTAGTATCTAAGAGTCAAGTAAAGCATGAAGCAGGAGGTCACAAAATTCTACAAACATAAATATAACATAATCCACACCCCGAGCATGATTAACCGTGTCACATACATATACGCTCGTCACCTCATATATGTATCACCCCCGCATGTAGCAAACAATGACAAATAGGAGGAAAAATTCCCTCAACAAAGTTAGGCAAAACACTTACCTCGAACAAGCCAATTACAATACCGAGCAAGCCAAGCGATGCTCTAAAAATGCTATCACGCGCGTAGTGACCTTTGAACGGCTCAAAACTAGCCAAAAGTAGCTCAAATACATCAAATAAAGCCCAAGGAAACAATTCCAAATGATAAAGATCGAATCCTAAATCAAATCCCAAATCTAGTCAAAAATCACACCCGGGCCCACGTCTCGGAACCCGACAAAACACAAAAAAAAATTCGATAACCCATTAAATTACGAGTCCAACCATGCTAGTTTCACTCGATTCCGACTCCAATTCGATGTTCAAAACTCAAAAATTCATATTATGAAACTTTAGGCCAAACCCTCAGTTTCCTATTTGAAATTCATCAACCAAAAGCTAAAATGGAAGATAGATTCATGTATAATCGAAACCGAGTAGAGAACTCTTACCCCGATTCATATCCCAATTCCGAGCTCCCCAACTCAATATATATTAAATGAATAAAACTCTCGTTTTAACACTGTTCTGCCTCATTTCTTCTGCCAAATGATCTCGAAACTCGCTTTTGATGCCTCCAATAGATTCCTTGTGAAATTATAGTCAAGTTAGGCTCTAGTATCACTCCATTTGACCTTATATTGAAGGAGATATGCTGGTTTCAATATTTGAAATAGTGCAGATTTTTAAATACGAAGTCAATGGCAATTTCGTAATTAATCTGAAAAATCTAGCAACCCAATTCTTAGTAAAACGATCATAAACTCCTCATACGATGTCCAAATTCGACGATTCTTTTTGCTATGGCTCCTTAATTACGATACAGATCTAGTGCTTCAATAAAAATAGAAATTGGAGCTCATTTGCTTAATGTAGTACCATTTATGCTTGAAGAAATAACGTCGAAACATAAAAAAACGAGCGCAACGCAATCCAAACCTATCCGAAACTCACCCGAGCCCCTCGGGATCACGTACAAACGTACCACAAAGTCCCATAGCATAACATGGACTAACTCGAGGCCTCAAAACACACACAACAACATCGAAACGACGAATCACACCTCAATCCAAAAATCAATGAACTTGAAAGTTTAAACTTCGACAACCGATGCCGAAACCCATTAATCACGTCCGATTGACCTCAAATTTTGCACACAAGTCACATTTGACATTACGGACCTGCTCCAACTTCCAGAATTAAAATCCGACCGCGATATAAAAAGTCCACTCTTGGTCAAACTTTCCAAAAAATCAAACATTCGCCATTTCGAGCCAAATTCAACTACGGAACCCCAAATCACAAACCGGACACGCTACTAAGTCCAAAATCACCCTACGGAGCTAACATAACCATAAAAATTTCAATCCCAGGTCAAATACTAAAACGTCAAACTCGCTCAACTCTTTCAAATTTAAAGCTCCTTAGTTGAGAATGATTCTTCCAAATCAGTCCCGAATAACCTGAAAACCAAAAGCGACGATTTACATAAGTCAAAATACATCATACGGAGCTACTCACGCCCGTAAAATACCGAGCGAAGTGCAAATGCTCAAAATAACCAGTCGGGTCGTTACAGTTATCATCCAAGAAGCAAGAAAGCAAATTCCCCTACCCACTTTATTGAAACAATTTCATCTACAATTAATTCCAATTCCAATTACCGTTGTTTTAAGTCTAAAGCACACGGCCCATTGATACCGACCTTTAATTCTAAACAAATCTTATTCAACTAATCTATTTAGCAAAGTAGCTTGAAACATACAAGTGGCATCTAAAGCCATAATTGTTACGGCTAAATTGTAGTTGTAAAGTTAACAAAGAGAAACAGAAAATCAACATAGCATCAGAGCTGTCACACCTCCTTTTTCCCCGAGAGATAGTGAGTTTTTCCAATTAAAGTGACATCAAGCAAAATGAGATTATTTAATTAATTTAGAGTCGCCACTTTGAATAATTTATGGTGTCCCAAGTCACCGGTTTATTTTAATTTCCAAATCGAGAAAATTTGACTCTGTTTTAAAGTTTGCAAAAACCAGAAGACCGGGTAAGGAATTCTGTTAACCCGCGAGAAGGTGTGAGGCACTCCCGAGTTTCGTGCTTTTAGCATGGTCGCTCAACTATTAATATTTGACCTAATTATCTGATTTAATATATATTCAAAACCTATTGTGCATTTTTAACTTCTAATCGCTTTCAATTAATTTAATCGCCTTTTAGTATTTATGGAGTTTATTTGAACAAGTCGCGATGCCGCGTGATGTCGCCCAAGTTCACACCTCAAATTGGGGTTGTGAAGCGGTCGATGCAATTATAATTACCCAACTAGGAGTCGGGATCGATTCCCCAAGGAGCGTAGGTGGGATTAGGTATATACTCGGACTAAGCTTATAATGTGTCCAAAATGCACTTCCACATATTTTGTTGTTTTTGTCAACTTCTTAATTTATCTATTGCTTGCAAATATAAAAATAGAGAATGATATTTTTGGTGTTGTTTTTCAAGTTGTAAAAGATCTAGGGCTGTGACTTCCACCTAGGTGGTTGCCTAACGGATTGTGGACTTTAGAGCGAGTTTCATTTGTCAAGGCGTAATATAGCACTCAACACACAACTACTCACTCAATACCTCTCGATAATGGAGCGGTTTGGCCCAATTTGTCTTTCTCAAGCCCAAATGGGTGATTCACAAAATAGTTGATAGATGTTCAAATCGGGTTTTACTATCTCTAGATTCGACCCTTTAATTGAGACTATTAATTTCTTGAGTTCACCCCAATTTCTTGTTAGCCAAGTTTCCCTAGACTCAATCTCTCTTTCTCAAGTAGAGACTAAGTCAATTAAGCATGAATCTATATTTGCAACCATTAATTCTTAAATTAAAGCAAGAACTAGGCTTTATATCACACATCCAACCTTAAATAAGCCCTAAATCAAACACCTATTAGGTACCCACACTAGGGTTGGGTCACGACCCTAGCTAGAAATTTAGCTACTCATAGATAAAAATAAAGAAATTAAAAAAGAAAAGAAGATTAAACTCATATTAGAGGATAAATAGATAAAAATCTAATGTAAATTAGACAAGCTATTGTAAAATTTCCTAAACCAGTAAAATAAAAACGACAATCTATTTTCTGAAGTTCAAACTTAACCTAAATTCGTCAAAAAAGACTATTTATGCACAGCTGAAATTTTTGGACAAAATTGCCTTTTCTGAGGTTCTGCGGCCACACAATTTAGTGTGCGGTCCGCACTTTGATGCAGGTCTTGACAGGAGGGACTTCTGCAGCAGCACAATTCAGTGTGCGGTCCGCACTTTGATGCAGGTCTTGATAGGAGGGACTTCTGCAGCCGCACAATTCTGCATTGCGGCTGCACTTCTTCAATTCTGCGGACCCCACATTTCTGAGTGTGGCCGCACTCTTAAGTTCTGCGACCGCACAATTATAGTGCAGTCCGCACTTCTTGATGGACTAAGACTGGGAACTCTCTGATCTTCAACATCTGTGGCCGCATAATTATTGTGCGGTCCGCACTTTGTAAAGTTTTTCTGACAGAGGTTCTTCGTGATCTGCTGCCGCGGCAGAATTCTGTGGTCCGCATTTTGTCCTTTTTGCTTGGTTTTAGTCCTTGTCCAACAATACTCCTTCTTGAGTCAAATTTCATCATTTTGGCTTATTTTTCAATACTCCTGCAAGAAATCATATTTTATCAGTTTTTGGGAATACCTTTTAATATTTTTGAGCTAAAACGAAGTAAAAAGGTGCAAATAAGTAGTCAAAATCCCCACTTATCACTGCGCATTCGCTGTTTTTGTACATATTGCAAACCGCGCCACGTGAAATGCACCGCAATTTACAGCATATTTATTTTTATTATTATTTGAAGTTATGGTCGAGTCACGTGAAACGCGCACTTGAATTGGGATTACGTATCATGACTATGCCACGAGAACCGTACTCATAGTATGATGATTTATTATTAATCGCGCCTAAAGCAAGCTACCATATTTGTGATTTATTTCCTAATCTAATGTGAGATTATTGTGGGGTCACATGAGTGATGGATACTTGTGTTGGAGAGTGTAGAATTCAATAACAGGGGTTATTAAACTTATTTTAAAAAAAAATGTATTTGAAATTAGAGTTAGTGTTGCAACTTACCAATTTTGTGCTCAATGGCTTGCTAATGTTTCTGGTATGTTTTAACTATAATTATCTAAAGACATGAAAGATAGGCTAGCTAAAGGTAGACCCAATTGAACTTAAAGAAAGATCCATTCTCGTTATCATCCAAGATGCAAGAAAGCAAATTCCCCTACCCACTTTATCAAACAATTTCATCTACAATTAATCCCAAATCCAATTACCCGTTGTTTTAAGTTTAAAGCACACGCCCCATTGATATGACACCGATTTAATTCTAAACAAATCTTATTCAACTAATCTATTTAGCAAAGTAGCTTGAAACATACAAATGTCATCTAAAGTCATAATTGTTACGGCTAAATTGTAGTTGTAAAGTTAACAAAGAGAAACTGAAAATCAACATAGCATCACAAAAATTTTCAAACTAAGAAGGAATCACCACATAAACGTGCAAATAATGCACCATTAATATACAACCAGTAACGTTAACCAACTACGCAATGCACGAAATAAAGATCTAAGAGTAGAAATAGACCTTAAGTGAAGCAATTTCAGATTTGTAATTATATGAAGAAACTCGTGCAAAGGAATGCAGCGTCGATAAACTCGCCGGAAACTGGACTAGAAGTCAGAACCTACGATCTTCTTTTAAACCAGAACCTCGAACAAAACCGACTCGTCGGATCCTTTGAAGGAATTCGAGTACTCGACTAATTTTCGCCGGAGTTTGGACTGAAAGTTCAAAGATGTATATATGAAGAAGAAGAAGAAGGAAACTGGAGAAAGGAAACTTAAAACAAAGCACTTCCTTTTTATAAGAAAACAAAAAATTCACATCAGATTATATTACCAAAGAGTGAAGACTAGCAAAAATGAATTAATACACTATCTATTTTTGGGGTTGATGTGGTAGGTTGGGGATGGCATATTCTTTCTTTGGAGAGGAGGCCGTGTGTCTCTTTAGGTGGTGGGCGACTGACATATCACGATCCAATTACTCCCTCCGTAAAAAATCGTGACGGCATCTAGTCTTTATGACTAGGTAAGCCTAACACTTTGCGGAAATGAATTAAAAGCATGAACATTAACTACTAACAGTAACAAATATCTAATAAGCAGTTGAATGCCACTCGGCATATACGATTATCACCTCTGAAATGTACCAAACAATTCTCAAAACCCGAAATACCGCAAGTCACAAGGTACTTAGAAGTCTTAACTGTTCTATACATCATTTCTACAGAAAGAAGGAAAAATGAACATAGGGGAAATAGAGGGGGACTCCGAGGATCTGAGGGAGCGGGCAGATGTACCTTGAAGTCTCCAATAAGCAGCAGCGACTGCAACTAGTGATGAGGCTGATAAGATGAACCTGGATCTGCACATGAAAAACATGTGCAGGAAAGGACATGAGTACACCACAACGGTGCCCAGTAAGTGCCAAGCCTAACCTCGGTCGAGTAGTGACGAGATCAGGTCAGGGCCCTACTGGTAAAATTATAGTGAAATAAGACAGAATGAGATATCACTGTTAAAAATAAATACAGAAATCTAGTAGGAATAGAATCGTAGAAAAACAACAGCTAAGAACACAGAGATCACAACAGGGAACTCCTGGGATACCGTCCCGTAGTCCCAAACGTAAATGTGCAGGGGGATCTCCCGGAATACCGTTCCGTAGTCCCAAAGTAAATATGCAGTGCTGTGGGATCTCCCGAAATATCGTTCCGTAATCCGAAAGTAAATATGCAGTACAGAGGGATCTCCCGAAATACCGTTTCGTAGTCCCAAAGTAAATATGTAGCTCAACCAATATAAATAACAGATACAGCAAGAAAACCTACAGTTTCGACTAAGTTCAAGTCAAGGAAAATAGGTAATTTCACTAAGCATGCTGCACAGAGTTCAGATAGGCAGTTAAAACACGTAGGCATGCTAATCTAGACAAAACAGGATAATTACACATGCTAGTGTAGTTCAAATAAGGAAAAACGGGTTATGACTTAGTGAAAAATGGAGTTTTACAACAAATAGTCCGTGTATGTACTCGTCACTTCACGTACACGGCGCTCACATATCAAACTGTACCAAATCCTAAGGGGAGTTCCCTCACACAAGGTTACGCAAGCCACTTACCTCGAACCAAGCTCAATCAATCAGTCACAATGCTGTTTCCACAAATATCCGGCTCCGTGTGGCCCAAATCTAGCCAAAATCGATTACGTAGCATAAATATAACTACAAGGAACTAATCTAGCTTAGGAAATTCAATGCTAAAGAAAGAAATTGGAAAAATCGCTCAAAAGCCTCCCCGGGCCCACATCTCGAAATCGGGTAAAATTCACGAAATATGAACACCCGTTCACTCACGGGTCTAACCATACCAAATTTACTCAAATCCAATACCAAAATCTCGATCAAAACCCCAAAATCTAAGAACTTTTCTCAAATTTTACCCAATTTTCCAACTCAAATCCCTAATTAAATGATGAAATCAACAATGGATTAATGGAATACAACCAAAAATGAGTTAGGAATCATTAGTCAATAACTTCCTCTGAAAATACTTCAAGTAATCACCAAAATCCGAGCTCTCAAGTCTAAAAATGAAGAATGAATTCAAACCCTAGATTTTGCCCTTTTCTGCCCGTTAAACTGCACCTGCGGTTACTTACACGCATCTGCGGCCCCACACTTGCGGAAAGGCCATCGTAGGTGCGAAATCAACTTAAATTGTCTGGGACCGCATCTGCGAGCACTGGGTCGCACCTGCGAGCCCGCTCCTGCGGTCCCCAACCGCTTCTGTGCTTCCGCTTCCGCAGACCCCTCACCGCACCTGTGGACCCAGCTGGACAAGGCTCTTATCCGCATCTATGATTCCATAGCCGCTTCTGCGGCTTTGCATCTGTGGCCCAGAGTGCGCAAGTGTGGTTAAACCAGATACAGCAACTTCAGCCATTTTTCTAAGTCTCAAACCAATCCGTTATGCACCTGAAACTCACACGAGGCCCCCGACACCTCAACTAAATATACCAACAAGTCCTAAATCACCATATGAACTTAGTCGAGCCCTCATATCATATCAAACAATGCTAAAATCACAAATCACCCTCCAATTCAAACTTAAAGAACTTGAAACTTCAAATTTCCACAACCGATGCCGAAACCTATCAAAACATGTTCGATTGACCCCAAATTTTGCACACTAGTCATATTCCCCACTATGGACACACTACAACTTCCGGAATTGGATTCCGACCTTGATATAAAAAATTCCTCTACCGGTCCAAAATTCATAAATTTCGACTTTCGCCATTTCAAGCCTAAATAAGCTATGGACCTCCAAAACACAATCCGGACATGCCCCTAAGCCCAAAATCACCCAACGGAGCTAACAAAATTAACAAAACTCCATTCCGGAGTCGTCTTTACATTGTTCTGACTACGGTCCAAATCTTTAGACTTAAGCCTCCATTTAGGGACTAAGTGTTCCAAAACACTCCAAAACAAAAACGAAACATCCCAGCAAGTCACAATAGCAGAAATAGATATGGGGGAAGCAGTTAATAGGTGATCGGGGTTCTAACTCTCAAAATAACCGGCCGGGTCGTTACATCCTCCCTCTCTTAAAACAATCATTCGTCCTCGAACGAGCATAGAGACATACCTGAAGTGGTGAAAAGATGAGGATAACGACTGTGCATATGCTGCTCGGTCTCCCAAGTCGCCTCCTCGATTGGCTGACCCCGCCACTGAAACTTTACTGATGCAAAGTTCTTTGACCTCAGCTTTTGAACCTGCCTGTCCAAAATAGCCACTGGCTGCTCAACATAAGATAGATCCTTGTCTAACTGGAATGAGCTAAAATCCAACACATGAGATGGTTCGCCGTGATACCTCCGGAGCATCAAAACATGAAATACCGGATGGACTCCTGCCAGGCTGGGAGGTAAGGCAAGCTCATAAGCAACCTCCCCAACTCACCGCAACATCTCAAAGGGACCAATATACCTTGGGCTCAGCTTGCCCTTCTTTCCGAACCTCATGACGCCCTTCATAGGCAAAACCGGGAGCAAGACCCTCTCTCCAACCATGAATGCAACATCGCAAACCTTCCAGTCCGCATAACTCTTCTGTCCGGATTGGGCTGTGCGAAGTCTATTCTGAATCACCTTAACCTTCTCCAAGGCATCCTGAACCAAGTCCGTACCCAATAATCTGGCCTCGCCCGGCTCGAACCAACCCATTAGGGACCGATACCGCCTACCATACAGAGCCTCATACGGTGCCATCTGAATGCTGAACTGATAACTATTATTGTAGGCAAACTCCGCAAGTGGCAAGAACTGATCCCAAGAACCTCCAAACTCCATCACACACGCACGAGACATATCTTTAAGAATCTGAATAGTGCGCTTGGACTGCCCGTCCGTTTGAGGGTGAAATGTTGTGCTTAACTCCACCCGAGTACCCAACTCATGCTGTACGCTCTCCAGAACCGTGATGTAAACTGCATACCCTAGTCAGAGATGATAGATACCGGCACATCATGATGTCTGACAATCTCACAGATGTAAACACGAGCCAGCTGCTCGGAAGAATAGGTAGTCATCACGGGAAAGAAGTGAGATGACTTGGTCAGTCTATCCACAATCACCCAAACTACATCAAACTTCCACTGAGTCCGTGAGAGTCCAACAATGAAATCCATAGTGATCCGCTCCCATTTCCACTCCGGGATCTCTAACTTCTGAAGCAATACACCCGGTCGCTGATACTCATACTTCACCTGCTGGCAATTTAGACACCGAGCAACATACTCCACTATGTCCTTCTTCATCCTCCTCTATCAGTAATGCTTTCTCAAGTCCTAGTACATATTCACGACACCTGGATGAATAGAGTACCACTAGCTATGAGCCTCCTGAAGAATCAACTCATGCAAACCATCCACATTAGGCACACATAGCCTGCCCTGCATCCTCAATGCACCATCATCCCCAATAGTAACCTCCTTAGCATCAACGTGCTAGATCGTGTCCTTCAGGACAAGCAAATGGGGGTCATCATATTGACGCTTCCTGATACGATCATAAAGAAAAGACCAAGAGACCACACAAAACAATACTTGACTCGGCTCAGAAATATCCAATCTCACAAACTAACTGGCTAAGGCCTGAACATCCAACGCCATGGGCCTCTCTGCTGCTGGTAGATATGCTAAGCTTCCCAAACTCTCTGTCCTGCGACTAAAAGTATCGACCACCACGTTGGACTTCCCAGGGTGGTACAAAATGGTGATGTCATAATCCTTAAGCAGCTCTAATCACCTCCTCTAACGCAAATTAAGATCCTTCTGCTTGAACAGATGCTGCAGACTCCGGTGATCAGTGTAGATATCACAAGGGACACCGTACAAATAATGCCTCCAAATCTTTAAGGCATGAACAATAGCTGCTAACTTGAGGTCATGGATAGGATAGTTCTTTTCATGCACCTTCAGCTGTGTGGAAGCGTAGGCAATCACCCTACGGTCCTGCATCAACACCGCGCCGAGGCCAACTCGCGACGTATCACAATAAATTGTATAAGACCCCGAACCTGAAGGGAATACCAATACTAGGGTTGTAGTCAAAGCTGTCTTGAGCTTTTGAAAGCTCTTCTCACACTCCTCCATCCACCTGAACGAAGCACCCTTCTGGGTCAGCCTGGTCATAGGTGCTGTAATAGATTAAAATACCTCAACAAACGACGGTAATACCCCGCCAAACCAAGAAAACTTCAGATCTCTGTAGCTGAGGACAGTCTGGGCCAACTCTATACCACTTCCACTTTGTTCGGATCCACCTTGATCCTTCACTCGACACTACGTGACCCAAAAATGCCATGGAATTCAACATAACTC